TTTTGTTGGATGCACATAGATTTGCAAATATGTCACGATTCTCCTTTTCTCCCACTCAGTCCATGTCGTCCCATGATATCTTCATAACGGTTGTTTTCCATTCTGACTTTGGCGTTCGGGTCTCCCATTAGGATAGTCAGATAGTTTCCTGAGTACTTCTCTATGATTGATTGCAGCCCCTCCTAAAACTAATCTTTATCGTCGTAATTGCAATTTCCACCCTTTTGTTTTGAAAAACACTTAGATGGTCCCTGGTCCATGAAACTCCCATCCAATAAGTGCTCTATGTGTTCTTTGGACAGCATCAGAGCAACTCCATGTGTGTGTGGCATTTTTCTCTTCGTGACCAGAGTACAACAGCCTCTCCCGAATCTAACCTTTGCCATCCAGCTTAGTTCCGAAGGGTTTCGCTGATTCTGAGAACTGCTATTTCATGATCCTTCCGGTCTCCCACATTTTCGGAACATTCCATGAGCCTATATTGATTGTTGCTATGGCAGTTAGAAGAGACATCGACCTCGTGACTTCCGAAAAATCTCAGATTTCAGCATGAGAAGTCACAATTCTTCTAAATGAAGATCATACAACTCGGAGGGCAGAGTGTTGATGGTTTAGATTGTTCAAATTGTTTATTATGATTAGCGTTCTTCTAACAAGTTTTCCGAAATTTTCTGCCGAAAATATGGTTTTTCTGAATTTCTACACGGGTTTATTCCATGAGGATCATATAATATAAACTTAATAACTACTTATAGTAATTGGCTACTGTTAATTGAGCTAAGGCGTTAAGGTTACATAGGTATGCTAGATTTCTTCACACCGTTCAGAAGATTTGGTAACCGATATTCAATGTGTCACTTAGCCAAGGTGTGTTACCTATGGACTGCAAGGATGCTATCATCACTCCAATACATAAAATAGGACCAAGACAACCTCCATCAAACTACAGACTTGTCAGCCTCACCAGTGTCACAGTTAAAACATTGCAAAGAATAGTCAGAAAGACCATAATAATATACGTGGAAACCAACAACTTGTTGAACATGGTTTCTGAAAAGGTTTATCTTGCACAACAAACCTCCTTAGAGCAAGGTAGCAATGGATAAAGATTCTAGACAATCGAAAATAAGTGGATGTTGTCAACATAGGCTTCAGCAAAGCATTTGATGAGGTGCAAACAAATAGCCTGCTTTTGGGGCCGGAAAATCTAGGCATTACCGGACTTATCCTAAAATGGCTTATGTATTCCCTGGTAGTTCGAGAACAGGACGTAAGAGAATATTTCAAGTGCTCCACCTGGAGACCAGTACATAGTGGAGTACCTCAAGGTTTTGTCCTAGGTCCTTTACATTCTATACTCTATGTAAACGATCTCCCAAGTATAGTTGAGTCATCAATGTTAATATACACGGTCAAATGCTGGAATTTGCTGCTGGATGAGCCAGTCCAAGCGACTTCTCAGGAGTTCTTTCAGAGAAAACCTGACATATTAGTAAGGAATAAAGAGAGTATCTCATTAGAATTTACTATTTTTTGTTTTACCGTTTAGTATGCCAAGATTTTTACCCGGCTGCACCGGTGATCCACTGCTACCAGATACGGAGGCCCGTTAAGCGAATTCTTCCTCTATTCCGTCCACAACCATGTAAATGATCACCCAAGCATAATACATTCGCCAGTGTTATTATACACTGATGATGTAAACATCTGGCGAGTTATAACCGGAGACGCAGAAGCATGCGTACTTCCGGCAGACTTAAATACTATGATTAACTGGTCTACAGAGTGGCTGATGCCTATCAACGCGATAAGGTGTGTCTACATGCACTTTGAGGATACAGAGGTTGATGGGTACAGCTACCCGTGCAAGTTCAGTACTCCAGTGTATACCATACATTGAGCGACTTGAAAAACTGGACCCCCTTACTCTATCCTATCGCAGACTAAGGGGAGATCTTATTTCGATGTATAGAATACTAAGAAATGATTTTGGACCCAACATTTTTTCTTTTTTTCTTTCCACTAGATAGGGACATCTCAGAGGACATCGTAGACGAGTAGGAAAGTCAAGAACGAACAAAATAACGTGGCATACAGGTTCTCATACCGAGTCATCAATACTTGGAACCTGTTACCCGAAGCAGTGGTGTCCGCATCATCAATTTCTGTTTATTGATGATATTCCGAGAAATGTTTGTTATCGGATTTTACTACACTAAGAAGCACTTAAATGTTTGAATGAGATAAAAAGTTTCGGAAACCTCTACGCTTCAAGAAAGCTTAAATATGATAAATAGTTAACGCATCACTTCATTTTTTGGGTAGTACAATAAGACAAGAACCATACCTATGCAAATCTGGTAATCCTTTTTATCTCTAAAATAACATATCTCAAAGAACAGCATAGTCCCCTACATCTGTCCGACCGTGTTATAATTGTAAAGACGAAAACTTTGAATACCCGCAGATGATGCTACAGATGTACATGTAACGAGCTTTAGAAAGTCAAAATCCAAAATTCAACCTTCCGCTAATTTTTTATCTAACCATTTGAAACTATTTGACAAATTTGTTTTATAGCATCAAGTTGTGAATCCAAGCTTACATTGCAAGCGGGCTCGTTGTTTTGGTGTGTAGTTTGGCGTTCGGTTTTGATTTATGCCGAATAAACCAGTTTTCGGGAATCAGTCTGCTTTTAATACGACGTGGAATTATTCTGAGTTTCAGTTGGGGGTCTCCACGCAGAAATGGTTTTGCAGATCGTATAATAATACTTGTAAGTTGATTTTTATTCCAAACTTTTGTCACATACAATTTCATAGCAATTACGCATTGTGAGTCTAACGAAATTTGTATATTTTTTCAGAACTGACGATATTTTCATGATTATTACTTGTTTTAATACCTCCAGTCTATAAGAGATGATATACCTACACGTTCTGTTGGCAAACATATGTGGCTAGTAGAGTATTCAAACGAATTTTTTACCTTTTCAAATCAAAAATATCATGCAGTCTGAGTTGAAGCCCCACTGTGAACCAGCTGAAACCTTACAAACATCACTGAATCTGTCTCGAAAATACTGCTCTAGGACGAATATGTTTATTGATCTCACCCATCTTAATAAAAAAATCTGGTTAAGATAATTTAGGCTAATGGCAAAAATTGGCAATTTAAATGTCGTTATTTTCGTCCATATGAAATTTTCAACAAATTGAAAACAACTATAGCACACACCAAAGATGTAGCTAGTAACAGTTTCTATAGTGAGCTGGTCAGATGTAAAGTGTAAATACTACATGTGACTTTGTACCTGTTGATTTCAAGCAGTTTAGTCTGTTATTTCAGATTGTTTAGTTGAGAAATATGTCAATATGATAAGATCCAGTGCTTCGATCTATGTAGTGTGTTGTTTTGTGATAGTTTGAAATTCAAGTCATCTTTAGGTCCTTAAGTATTTCATTCTTTGTAGATTAGTATGTGTTTGTGTCTATAAGGATGAGAAGAAACTTTGAAATGAGCCTCTCGAAAGTAAAGTCTACCTATGTATTTGCAATCTCAATAATCTGAAGAACGTTGGGATTGCCAACATATATATATTTTTTCATTCTGCCTTCTCAAAAACACATTTTTTGTGAAACCAACTCAAACACGGCTAAGTTAGTCACATCTTATTTACTTCATATTTAAACACATCCGGTAAGACTGGGTAGCAAGACTAAAATGTGACACACAAATACAAGGATGATATCGCGAAAAAGGAAGGGGAAGGGAATACGATCGAAGAGAAGAGGTAAGCGGTGCGAGTATCATGTAACGAGAAAAGTGGTTTAGTTAACAATTCAACTGAGGGAGGCTTCTCTCAGGTAAGGAAGTTTCATCACTATATATGTTTAAGAGAACTAGAGAATAACGGTTTTCTGTTCCATGCTATTTATGGTAACGTATCACGCCACTAAATGAGGAAATATTCAGGACCTTAACCAAAACGTGTGATAAAACGAAATCTAAATCCTATACAGCTATCCTTCGTACTACGTTGCCATGTCATAAGCTCGTCATCTCTTCTTTTTCCACCCAGTCCCAACGCGGGTAGTTGACATACAATGTTAAAGTTGTTAAAATGACATTCATAGAACTTCCAAACTACTGAAAATGATAGGATAAATCAAATTATCGTCACTGTGACCATATGCACATTGAAGAACCTCACCATTACCACATAATGTTCTCACCGGTTGTGAGCAGTCATTTGGTGACAGCCATGGTGGAACACCGATAGTCGTCTGATATCCTCGTTTCAGAGAGGCCAGGTTCAGTAAGCATAAAACTAAACTGCTCTCACCGATGCGTCGTAAACCCGACGTTTTACAGCTAGACTAACATCACGATGTTGACAACAATGACTCGGATTGTCATAAGCCACTCTAGGGTCTGGTAGCTTGAATTGATGTACACATGTACCGGGTCTTATGGTGCATATGGCTGACCCACTTTTACTCGACGTAGACTGACCTCATCAGTTATCCCTTCAGTGCTATCCAAACACACGAACGTTTTGACTGCTACTAACGGTTTACCATAGAGAGCAAGCACATGCACAGGTTTCTGCTAGTTTTGCAGTTTTCTGTGTTTAGAAGGTGCCATACTTACAGACACTGATCGCTGACTGATTCAGTACGATTAGCATAATTTGTTTATCATTGCACTGTAAAACTACCTCCGCATACTCAAGTTAACAAATCTTGAAGCAAAGATGTTAGTCACGTCTAGACATTAGATATCTCAACTTTAAGTAATCTGAATATCTCACTCCGCTGGGTTTTTTTTATACACGTTTTACTCTTGGTATTTTTCGTTTAGTTATACCAGGTTTGTATTTTTTTTATTCTTATTCTTATCCCTAGGTAATATCAATTCAGAATGTTTATAAAATAATCCTGTTTTTTCCTTACCATATTGCGTGTTACCCTAAAAATATAAGGCTTACGTAATACCATATGATACCGGTGAGTCTTGTCACACCTCAGTCTGTGGGTTCAGTTGAGCAGATTGGTGAACATTCCTCGTCTCTGTCTCTACAAAATATTCCTGTTCAGCAAGATTCCGTTTCTTACTTAAACTCTCACGCTACTGTACATATGCATGATGGCCAGAATGAGTCTAGTAGTATTTACCTTACAGATCAAGAGTTACGTCTAGATTCATTCTTTCCTAACTCTCCAGTGGGCATCACTAGAGATCCCCATTGTGACGATAATGGTGAAGAACAAAATCGTATATCCAGTTTTGAACTAATTAGCCGCTTAATCGATGCTGAGGGCCTAATTGAGTTGGGTTACATACCGTCAAGTTGTAATTCAGCTCCAGCGATTGATGTAGCCAGTTTATCAGATCTGGAAGAAGTGACGTCAAAAACATTGTTGTGGTCTTCAAATGGTGATGATGTCGATTCTTTCAATTTCGATGACCTGAGTAATAAAATCAATGAGAGTAACGCCAACAATGCTGATACTAAATTAAGAAGTGATAACAGCAAGACTTCGGAGCATCGGTCAGCTTTAACGACTGAATATATATCTGTTGGTAAGTTATAGTTTTTACCCCAAAATTGAAAAATTAAATTTCGTAAATTTTGGACTCATTTTCCAATCGATCGAGGCCTGATTGTAAGGTTTAATCTTTGAACATTGTATCACAGTCAAACGTTTCATAGGCTGAATTCCTACCCGGAGATTCATTTTCTTGGAGTACACAAATAGTGCTAATACTCAGTCACAGATTTCTTCGAAGCATTGGTCGTAGAGTGCTATGTAACGACAAATAAATTGGTTGGTGGAATTGTTGATTTTCGCTGAATTAAGTAGTTGAGATATATTTTGTATGTATCGAACCGTCGACTACCTCGATTCATTGTTGTAGTTAGCATGGAAGTAGATCACAAGATGTGACTAATCATATCGAGAAATCCAGTCAGTTACTGAAATCAGTAACTACCAATCTACGTTCTGTTATGAAATTTAGTCTTAATAACCGAGTTCCGTAAATTAACCGCAATCTGTTATAAGATACTTGGTGTCATGGCTCGAAATCAGTTGGTTGTACAGCTGCGTTCCTTTACTTTCCGCCTAAGTCTTAAGCCAATTATTATGTCATGCTTCCCATTGATACCTTTTCGAACTATTATTTCTGTTCGTTTTTCTCATAATATTGGTGTTACTACTTTAACTCCTTCGCTTTTTATCTTGTTAATTCACTCCGGCTGTGGTAATGTAAATTATGATTACTTTGGTCGATCCATATTAGTACTGTGTCCTATGTTGTTTCTGACTGATTGAGTGAATGGGTTTCGGTGATTTCAATTCATATCACATGACGCCCACAATTCATCTTCGATTACTCAGCTGACCTCCATCAGAAAGCAAACATTTTGTTAACAGCTTAAATAACGGTCTCATTTACTGACTTTTCGGGCATTGATCTCTTACCAGGAGGTTCCCTGACCGTTGTTGCTACCTTGACGTGGTGGTCGGGCTTGCCTATCGTGATGAAGCAACTGAGCTATACTGGCTGGAACAACCGTTCCTCAAGGTCCTACCATGCCAGACAGGTCGGTTGAAGAGCGGTAAGACTAAAAGCAACAAAACCAAGGTCCGAAGGCGAAGTCGTACTGCTGACTGTACAGAGGTGTGACAGCAGTAAGGTGTTTCCTTCAGACAACCAGCATGACAGCGATGCTGCCTTCCCACAAGGAGGGGTGGGGTTAGAAAAGGTCGACCCTAAAAATGCACACCTCGCCTTATCCCACGGATATCCGTCTCCGGCGGTAAGGACTCAACAAGTACGGAGCTAACACAAAAATCACTCATAAAAAGGTCGTGTGTGACCGACCTCAAGCAGCTGTCCCTTGGGCACTGCGGTCACGCTCTCAGGTCACTATGACCAACTCTAATCCAATTTCCTTTTCAGGTACCTCCAGAAGAACCCTTCCACGGTGTGGGCAACCGGGAAGTGATAACCGCCCTCATACCTCTAACAGCACTCAAGACCACTGTATTCATAGTCAACCTCCCTCTTCAATTCCTATTATTCCTCCTACATCGACTTTATACACTAAACTTCCTCTTTTAGCTTCCTCCTCAAGTGTCACCACAGCCAACGATTCTAGTGCTCAAAACACTGTCCCAGGTCTACTGAAACCTCGCTCCAAACTATACATTGGAGCCTTCAACGTACGCACACTATGCCAAATCGGTCAGCAGGCTTCCTTGGCTAACACCTTAGAATCTCGTACGATTGATGTATGCTGTGTCTCCGAAACACGCATACAGGATCCTAGTGTGGTCATTCACCTGACCTCACCTCGGCAAAACGGAGAGCCAACGAGATACACCCTCCGTGTATCTGGCGACCCGATGGCTAGTTCTCGTGGACTGGCAGGTGTAGGCATAGCACTTAGCATGAGGGCGGAACAAGCTCTATTAGAGTGGATCCCCGTTAACAGTCGTCTATGCGCTGTTCGGCTAAACGGCTCCGTAAGAACTCGGAAGGATAGGGACACACGTCGTTGCCTTTTCGTTGTTTCTGCCTACGCTCCCACTGACTGCAGTTCGGATGAAGTGAAAGATGAATTTTACAGAAAGCTGTCTGAACTTCTTCAGAAAGCTAAACGTTCAGACATAGTACTCGTAGGAGGTGACTTTAATGCCCAGGTAGGTAGCTTAAACAAAACAGAAAGACATTTAGGTGGGTATTTTAGTATTCCGGCACAGCGAACAGATAATGGTGATCGTCTGCTGCAACTGTGCTCAGACAATCGTTTATTTTTAGCAAACACAAATTTTAAGCATAAGGAGAGACATCGTCTAACATGGCGACCCCCTGCACCAAACCAACGATGGACTCAAATAGACCATATTGCCATCAGTCATCGTTGGATAGGGTCAATAGAAAATTGTCGCTCATTCTGGGGTACCTGCTTGGACTCTGATCATGCCCTAGTACGAGCACGCATCTGCTTGCGCCTCACTGGACGCAAAAAAGCCACACAAAAAAGACTCATTAGAACCGAATTGAGTAATGAGAAAGCCAAAAGTAGGTTCCAGGAACAACTGAGGTCACACTTAGGTAGTTCTGAAAACGAGACTGACCCAGATGTTGCTTGGAAAGTTATACAAGCATCTGTGGAAACAGCAGTGACATCTACCAGTGATTTAAACCAAATGGTTACAAAAAACCAATGGATTTCGTCAAGGTCTATTGCACTGATAGATTCTCGCAAACTCATCCCATCAGGTTTTGAATACGATGAAGAGCGTAAAGAAATCAAATCTAGATTAAGCAAAAGTCTAAGGAATGATCGTGAGCAGTGGTGGGCAACGAAAGCAAAAGAGATGGAAAAGGCGGCGGCTATAGGGAACACAAGACAACTCTACAGACTAATAAAAGAAACTGGAATTAATAAATCAAGTGTAAGTCAGACCATTTCGGAAAAAGACGACACTCTCATCTGCTCCCAGTCCAGACGCTTAGAACGATGGGCGGAACACTTTAAGGAGCAGTTTAGCTGGCCTTCAGCTACTCTACAACTACCCTCTATTCCCAGACAGTGTGAATGGAACATTGAAGTAGGTCCTCCAACTCTAGCTGAAGTTCAAAAGGCTATAGCTAATCTGAAACGAGGAAGGGCAGCTGGTCCAGATGGATTGGCCCCAGAGGTCTTAAAGGATGGTGGTCTAGTCTTAGCGATTAGGTTGACTAATATTTTAGCTAAAATCTGGGAGTTAGACGTTATCCCCTCTGACTGGTCACAATCACTTATCGTCCCAATATATAAGAAAGGGTCAAAATCATCCTGTGACAACCATAGAGGGATTAGTTTTACTAATATAGTATCTAAAATACTAGCTTCGATAATTATCGGACGCCTAACTAAGACTCGTGAACTGCAAACACGTGAAAATCAGGCTGGCTTCAGACCTGGTCGTGGCTGCATCGACCACATATTCACCATTCGTCAGGTTCAAGAACACAGGCATACTTATCGGCGTCCGACAATAATGGTATTCCTTGACTTAAAAGCAGCGTTTGACTCTGTTGACCGAGAGGTTCTGTGGCAGTGTCTGTCATTGAAAGGCGTACCTCAGAAGTACATAAACCTTGTGAAGGCTCTTTACTCGAACACTACTAGTCGGGTCAGAGCCTATGGCGAACTGTCATCTGCTTTTGCAACCTCAAGTGGCGTCCGTCAAGGCTGTCCACTTTCTCCTTTTTTGTTTAACTTTATCATAGACATCCTGATGGAAATAACGCTCTCATCGACTGACTTCTCTGGTATTGATCTCCTACCAGGAGGTCCACTTATTGACTTAGAATACGCAGATGACATAGTCCTGTTTGGTGAAGACGCTGATGAAATGCAGAGTCTTTTGGTAGCACTGAGCAACAATGCTGGAATGTTTGGGATGCGCTTTCCTCCCTCTAAATGCAAGTTGTTGCTTCAGGACTGGTCTGCATCAACACCTGAACTAAGGATAGGGGGTGAAGTAGTCGAACGTGTAGACAACTTCACTTATCTTGGAAGTCTGATCAGCCCTAATGGGTTGGTGTCTGACGAAATCTCAGCACGGATTCGAAAAGCTCGCTTGGCCTTTGCCAACTTACGTCATCTATGGCGAAGGCGAGATATCCGTCTATCAATTAAGAGACGAGTATACTGCGCGGCAGTTCGTTCCGTCCTTCTATACGGCTGCGAAACATGGCCTTTAAGAGTGGAAGATATTCGTAAGTTACTAGTATTTGACCACAGGTGCCTTAGAAATATTGCGGGTATCTGCTGGGATCACCGGGTAAGTAATAGTGAGGTTAGACGCAGGGTATTAGGGAATGATGGTAAATCAGTTGATGAGGTTATGAATCTTCATCGACTGAGATGGTTGGGCCACGTGTTGCGTATGCCTGAACACCGATTACCACGACGCGCAATGCTGACTAGTGCAGGGGATAATTGGAAGAAAGTTAGGGGCGGCCAAACCAAAACGTGGCATCAGTGCTTGAAGTCACTAACTTCTGGTCTGAGCCATGTTGGGAGATTCAGACTGCCTGGCTGGGGTCCGCGTGACTATCGTAACCAATGGTTGGAGACTCTTGGTGACATGGCTCAGAATCGATCACAATGGCGTCGGTGTATACACTCTCTGTCTTCCTTAAATTAAGAGATTAAAATCGCTTCATATCTGTCTAAGAACTAATTCTTTCTTCCTTTACTATCTCCTTATACACAATCTTTCTTCTATATATTACCACCACTGAATTAACTATTTCTATGAATCTGGTGTTCATCTTGTTGTGCTAATGCGGTATGGCAACTTGGACCGATGCATATACGTGCCTGGTCCTACGTTGCAGCTGACTGACTGACTGACTGACCAGGAGGTTCACTTACCGATTTGGAATACGCAGATGACATAGTCCTGTCTTTTGATAGCACTAAGCAACAATGCCAGAACGTTTGGGATGGCCTTCTTCCCCTCTAAATGCAAGTTATTGCTTCAGGACTGGCCTGTGTTAACACCTGAACTAAGGAT